TAATATAATATTTTAAATAAAAAATAAAGATTTAAAAGTAAAAATTAAAATTTTAAAAAAATATATTAAAAAAATAAATAAAAATATAAAAAAAAATAATAATAATAATAATTAAAATTAATAAAAAAAGAAAAAATAAAGTAAAATAATAAAAAATATATTAAAAAAGCTTAAAATAAAAAAAAATCTATTTAAAAAGCTTAAATATAAAAAAAAATTAATAAAAAATAATAAGAAATAATAAAGAAAAAAAAATAAAAATATTAAAAATTAAAATTTAGATAAGAAAATAAAAAATAGATAAATAATAATAAAATTAAAAAGTTTTTTTTTTAAAATAGAAAATAAAATTATTAATAATAATAACTTATAAAAAAAAAAAAAATATTTATTATATAAATAAAAAATAATAAAAAATAAAATTAATAATTTTTAGATTTAATATTTATTAAAACTAATTACTATTAGTTTTAATTAAAAGTAAAACTTTTTTTAAATATTATTAATATATATAAGAAGTATTTTAAATATATATTTTTTAGAGAAGAGAACTAACTTTTATTATTATAAATTATTAATATATAATTTATAATTATTAAGATTTTTATATTTATTATAATTAGTAAAGTCTTTTTCTAATATTAATAATATTATTATTTTAAAAATATTTATTATAATAAAGTTTATAATAAATATTATAATTTATAATTTCTTTTAAATTTAGAATAGATATTATAATTTATAATTTTCTTTAAGTTAGTAATAAATATTATAAATAAAATTAATTAATCTATATATTATTATCTAAGCTTCTATTTTAGAAAGTAGAGAGATATAGAGGAATATAAATTTTAAAATTTTAAGTTAGCTTAGATTCTAGTACTTAAAAGTATATTATATTATCTACCTTAAATTAGTATAAGTCTAGAGACTAGGAAATAAGTATTAAGAGTATTAAAAGAAATTTAAAGGAGGAAGGTTAACTCCCTCTTTTTTTTTTCTAAGAGAAAGCTTTTAAATTTTATAATATTTTACAGCTAGTTCTACTAGTTTTTCTATTAGATTTTCAGTGGAAATCCTGAATATGCAACATTGATTATTCTAAACTTTAGTTATAGTGGTAATGTCTATACAAATTGAAGTACTAATGCTCTCCTATATTATCGTGTCTCTCCTTAGTTCTGTCCTGCTGAGCTCTGTGAGAAAGCTCTGCGTTTGGCCCGGATTAGCTGCCTCTAATTTTCTGCCCCATCATCTATCTAACACGTTATCACTTATCGAGTGGACAATACAACAACCTCGGATGAAAACACACCAGCCCCTAATAGATACCCCACTCGACATCCACGTTGGTGTTCACCGTTGTTCCAGAGCAGGACATGACGCCCATGGCACCAACCCGATCGCCACTGCCAAACTGCTTGATGGATTCGTTGATGATGTCGATGACATCCTGGCCTCCCACCTTGAACTGCACCGCGCCACCCGTGCCGCCGGTACGTTCGATACCAAACCGGCAAGAGCCGTGCTTGAGAATCTCACGGTGGCCCACGATGCCGTGCGTCCAGTCGGTCGAGGCGTCCTCCTCGATGTTCGTGATGATCTGCTTGCAGTCGTCGATGAGAGGCGAAGCATCGCTGCGGCGGTTCTCAAACGTCGAGTCGCCGCAGTGGCTCTTGCCGGGGAAGATGTCGCACGGGTAGTGGTCGGTCCCGCCCTTGGTGCCCGTGTGCCAAGCCTGCCAGGCGCGGCTGGGGCTGCAGACGGGCAGCTGAATGAGGCCGGGCGTCTCGATGTCGAGTTCGACCATCTTTTCGCGCATGATCTTGTCGTCGGATATCGCAGTGATGTTGATGGGCTTGTTCTCCCGGCCGTTGTGGACCCACGTGGCCACGGCGCCCTTGACGATGTCCTCCTTGGTCAGCTTGCCGAAATCGTTATCCTTGAGGGAGCCGATACCCTTGGGCGCGGAGAACTTGTGGTCCACGCAGGTGACCTGGCAGGGGCCGGGGCCGCCGGAGCTTTGACACTTGCACTCGCGAGCGTCACCCTCAGGCGCGACGAGGTAGTACATCCTCTCCTTGTGGCAGACCGAGGTGGCGCTGGCGGTGTCATCGTCGACGTACTTGCTCGAGGGGTTGCCGTGGCAGCCCTCTCCCGAGTCGAGAATGAAGGCATACTGCTTCGATCGGCGCCACAGGCCTGGGATAGCGTAGGCAAAGAACGTCCTGCGGGCGGTCTCCTCGATATCAATAGCTCCCTTGCTACTCTTCATATCGCCGGCTGCACCGGGCAGCATCTTGCCGTCCTTGATGATGGCCCGGTCAGGGCGTCGAGCGATGCGCGCTCGCCGTTGAAGAGCTTCTTGAGGCCTATGGTGGTGAGGTTCATCCAGCCAAAAACGGCCTGGGCGGCGTAGTCAGAAAAGTCCTTTTGCGCATCGGGGGTCCATTCGTCGTCGTCGGGAGACTGGAGCATATCCTTTGCAAGCGTTGTACCCTGACCGACCATGTTCAGCGCCGTGTCTTTGGTGTTGTCAAACGCGCTGCTGTTGGGGTCCTTAAAGGCTGGAAGGTTTTTCAGGACGCTGTTGAAGAAGGGCGCCATGCCGCCAAGGGCCCCGATCGTCAGGAAATCGATCATGATATTTAACCACTGGTTAGTTTCGGGCTCAGGAATCGGCGCAAAGACGTTCTCCATACGTCTGATGGTAGTCTGGACGCCTCCCCTCATGTCGCTGAGGCCGTCGTAGTAGGTGTGGAACATGCGATGGAGCTTGATGAGGGACTGCCAGATAATGTAGGCCGCCGGTCCGGAATCGGCGCCATTGGCACCGGCTGGGCATTCCCATTGGCTGTCACAGTTATCGTCAATGCCTCCAAGAATGTGACAGCCCAGATCGCCGCCGGCGAGGAGGGTCTGTTCCACGGATTGCGTAAAGGAGAGACGGCCCTTGTCAGTCCCGGTCCACTTGATGATGATCTCGTTCCATGCAGAACTAGCGTCCAGCTCCCTCCAGCGCTCGGCGGGATCATAGTCGTACTGGTGAGTGACGTATTTGGACGTACAGTCGCCCTCTCGCCACTTGCCTATTCTGACAGTGCTCTGCTTGGGATCACCGCCCGCGCTCGCCAGGGAGATGAAGGAATCCCAGTCCTTGGCCGGCTTCGGAGGATCATGAAACTCTTGCAAATCGCTGGCCCAGTCCGTAGTGCCGGCCATGCCGAGACTAGCGTACAGACGCGTGCGGACAGCCTTTGTGCTCTCGCTCATGTAACCGACCCACTGGTCGTTGTCGTAGACGAGGATGTCGGTATTGCTGCTCGTGTCCAGGAACTGCGTCGTTACACGGCTGTTCTGACGCTTGCCGCTGGCTCCGCCACGGATAATCTCATTGATCTCGGCATCAGCGATATAGCCTCCAGTATCGGTACACCTGCCCGGCGTGGCGTGAGAGGTGACCCTATCGCCGGTGAACTTGCACAGAGGACCCCAGCAGCCCACTTCAGCCATCTGAAAGGAGCGTCCGTAGCTAGTGATACCGACAACAATCTTGTTGCCAGGAACGCCAGCCTTGGTGATCATGGCAAGCGACTGTCGGGTCTCGGTAAGGTTTACCTGGCTGCGAAGGCAGTTACCGGTCTCACAGTACTCCTGGGAGTGCTGATTGTGGGCATCCCACTGGCCATGAAGATCGTATGTCATGTAGACGATATAGTCGACCACCTTGCTGATCTTCTCGATCGGGAACTGCTTCAGATACCAGTATGATGCGGGGGCGGCGATTGCAACTGTCTTGCCGGGAAGCAGATTCTTGAGAGCGGCAAGGAAAGCGAGGTAGTTAGGGCCATCTTCCGCCGTACCAGGGTCCTCCATGTTGGGAAGATCTGGCGCGCCGGGGTACTCCCAGTCAATATCGACACCATCAAGCTTATGCTTGATAATAAAGTCGGCAATATTTCTCGCAACCTTGATACGGTTGGCGGGCTTAACGGCCTCGCGGAAGATCCTGTACGTCGGAGGGTCGTTGGAGAAGGCCCAGCCGCCGAAGGAAAGGATCCTCTTGACGCCCTTGATGCGTGTGAACTCCTGGAACTCGTAGGTGGAGAGCACATCGCCAACCTCGACGGCAAAGTTCGGAGCCGGGGTCAGCGTGCCGAAACCAAAGTGAAGGTGGGTGTACTTTGACGTGTCGATCTGGAGGGCGTCCTGGTACAGGCACTTGCGGCCTAGACCATAGCCCTGGAAGTAGGCGAGCTTGATGGCGCCGTCACCAGTTCCCTTGACGATATCTATACCGCAGTTGGAGATGCAGCCATAGGTGCCCTTCTTAGCAGTGCCGGGAGGGCCGGTGTTAGTGTCAATGCAAAAGTCCCTGTTCACGCCGCATTGGCCCCAGATGTTGCAGCATGCGTTGAGGGGACACGGGTTCAGGTCGGCAATGTTGGAACCATCAGTGGGAGGCTTGGAGCCTGGCTTCTGAGGGCCGCAATTGGCGTTGTCGATAGGGGCCGGGAAGGGAGGGGATCCCTCGCTGAGACATATGATGGCCTTGGAGAAGAGGGGATCGCAACCAGAGAAGCCCCACGTCTTCTTATTGAAGTCCTCGAGCTCCTTTCGGGTCAGGCCATACTCGGCAGCGAGGTTGTCGCAGTTGTCGTCGTCCTGGACGGTGTACGATGCACACTGGCCGTTGGCATCAGGCTTGGGCCGCCTATCGGGGAGCGTGCCGGTGGAGCAGCACACCCACTGCTTGGGCTTGACGCTGTCGCACTTGAGATCCGGGTTGAATTTTTCGAAATCGTTGGCCGACACTCCACACATGACGGCCAGCTCGGGGCAGCCGGTGCCAAACTGGGCCTGGACCGACCTGCACTCGGCACGTGCCTGGAGGACGTTTGCATCTCCACGGCGGATTGTGGGGGGGCTGGCCGTCGTAGAGTCGGCCGTCGTGGAGTTGGCCGTCGTAGGGTTGGCCGTCGTAGGGTTGGCCAAGCTGCCGTCGATAGGGGGGGTGGTGTAGGTGACGATGCCAGGGAATTCTCGGGACCCGCTGAAAGAGAGGCATCTGGCCTCGGTCCAAGATCGGATAGCTTCCTGGATCGGAGAGAAGGTGCCGTTGCTGGTTACGACGACGCCGAAGATGTGGGTGGCGAGAGACTTGTCATCGCAAAGCTGCATGGCCATGCTGGGTGACGTGACGTTGAGGTTGTTAAAGTTGTCTTCAAAGGTTCGCAGGGCGGACTGACCGAGGCCCTGGCGCAGCAGGCCCTGACCAATGTAGACACCAATGCTGGCCAGGCCAGCGCGTCCGTAGAGGATGACGGGTCTATCCGTGGTGTCGGCGTGGCCCTTGTCGATGTATTCGCCCAGCTCCCGAGAGAGAGAAATGATTCCCCCCGCAGCAAGGCCGAAAGTCTCTTCCCACCAGCCGAGCTCAAACTTGACATGGACAGGCTCAGTCTCGGCAGTGGAGAAGAGCCTCGCCGTCGCGGGTTCGGCCTCCATGTTGTCAAAGTCGGCGCCAAAAGACGTGCAGGCGGAGATGCGGTGGTTGGAATCTCTGTCGTCGACTGGGTCGTAGAGGTTGAAGCTATAGAAGACGGTCTCCTTGCACCTCTTCATGAGGTTGAAGTTGGGATAGACCGACCACTTGCTGGTATCAGGGCCGGCGTCTGAGCATCGGCCGGGACAAAAGTCCTTCGCCTGAACCGAGCCTGGCAGGACGCTTATGGCGGCGAGCGCCACCGCAAGCCACGGTGGTGTTACCATGGTTTTCCTGGAAGGATGCTGAGCCTGTATTTACGGGATGTTAGTACGTTTACATTGTAGTGGGAGGGAATGATGGTCAAGCCGTACCTTGATGTGTGATCTCTGAGGCAAGAAACTGAGTCCAGGAAGACACTAGACAGCTGATCAGTGACGAGATGTCGCTTGCTGCTACTGTTGCTTCTGCCGGACGGAGCGTGCCTTTTGCGGATCGTAACGAGCCCTATTTATCAACCCCAAGAGTTGTCTGACCTCCCTCCACTCACGAGGAGAGATGTACCTACGTGCCTTTGTGATTAGCCAGGCTATGGAACTAAATTGGCAAGGCAGACAGAGGGAAGGAATGGCGAGAGGACAACCTGCCAAGGCACTGGGACCTTTTGGCTCACTGATACCTAGCCGGGGGTATCTATAGTAATGTGGTAACCAGGGTAGCACAGAGTGGCCAGGTCACTTCGTTGTCCGTTGTCGTACGAAGTATGGCTTACACAATGGGACCGGACGGCGGACCGGACCTGTTTTACGGTGGGGGTTGTTGAGCATGAGATGACTCGGCCAAGAGGAAGCAACTTCACATAACACAAAGGCCCTCGATGAAGTCCGGTGGCATGCCATTTTGGTCCTACCTGCCTAGTAAGGATGGTTGGGGAAATGGAGGGACCGTGTTAGGCAACTTGTCCGGGAGCGGTATCATACTGCCAAGATGAAGGATCATGCACTACATGCAAGAATAATAAAGAATAATACGCAGTACAACGTCAAGGCGAGTTGGCTCCTACCAAGGGTGGTCTTGCTCTACATAGGCACCGCACCGTGTTAGGCAACGTATCCGGGAGCGGTAGCATCAATTGATATTGCCAAGATGAAGGATCATATATTGCAGGCTGACTTGATGGAGCAAATGACAAAAATAATATAAATAATATGCAGTACAACGTCAAGGCGAGTTTTCTGCCTGACATCCACAAACCAACCCCCCCCCCCCCCCCCCCCCCCCCCCCCGGCGAACGATCCCGAGCCTTGAAAGAATATAACCGAACCGAGGCATGCCGCGGGCCAGGTCGGAAGGCCCGGTCAAGGCGTGGGTCGGATCAAGCGAGTAAAAAAGCAGCGCCGAGAACAGCCGCGAGGCTAGCAACTCCCGCAGCAGCCAATCTCGGATGTGCGAGACCGTCCTTTGGACACTCCTCGGGCGGGTTCAGGCCTCTGCACTTCTCCTTGAGGTCAGCGGCCTGCATGCTCTCGACTGCGGCCTTGTCAATCTTGACCTTGCAGGGGTTCGAGGTGGGTGTGGAGGACGAGGAACCCAACACCGCACAAGTCTCGCGTCCCGAGGATCCGACGGGAGCCTCGAGTGTCTTGTCGGTCACGTCAATGCCGACGCCCTCGTTCGGGCAGCTCTCGCTATCACCGCCTGTGGCGGCGACGAGATCGGCCCTTTCGCCACCCGCTTTGATCTCAAACTCGACCAAGAAGTTGTCGGTGCGGTTGCGGACAATTTCGACCTCGTCGCGGCTCTCGTCGCACGCCGACCAGCGCGGCTGCCAGAGGAGGCGAAGCCTGCCCTCGCCTTCAGCTCTGAGATAGCTCCACAAGAGATAGGGGTCGTTCTCCGAGGCGCTGGTCCAGTTGAGCTCGTGGGTGCTATCGACGAGGGTTTCAATGCCTTCAGTCACGTTGAGGATCTGGAACCAGATGGTGGGCTTGAGATGCTCGGCCAGCTTGGAGTTCTGGAGCGCGAAAACAATGGGGAAGTCATTCGTGGGCTCATACGTCTCGTTCGCGCGGGGAAAAGCCAGACCGATGTCCAGGACACCGGCGGCTCTGGCGACGGCGCCGAGGTAGGCAGAGGCACCCATGAGGGCCCACATGGGCTGGGAAGCCGGACGCATGGCGGCGAGCGGGCGAGCGGGCGTTTAGTCGGTATCGCTTTTAGCAGTAGCGCGGTTGATGTTAGCGTTGGTGATGTTGGCAGGCACACTGGCTGCCCGACTGAATTTTGACGGTTGCTGTGCTGCTGGTGCTGGTGCTGGTGCTGTTGCTGTTGCTGTTGCTGTTGCTGTCCTGTTGAGATTGCCCAAAAAAACAAACCAAAAAAAAAAGCGACCGACGGACGAGAAGGTCGGCAAATAAAGCGACAAACGTGAAAACGCACGAAAACAGACCACCCACCGTGGCACAATGGTGCTGTGTGACCAGTGGCTCAATTTTGGCTTGGCCCCCTTGGCAAACTGTGCCGTGAGCCCCTGACTAACTCATATAAGGAAGGTATGGTACCGTACCCGGGCAAGGTTGCCTTGGTTGCCTTCCCCTGAAGGAGAAGGAGCGGTTCTGTCGACAGGGGTGCCTCGGAATCGATCCGATGTTTGGCCAATTTCCGAGGCAGCTAGTTTTGTACCTCACATCTCCCACAGGGATTAGACTTGTTAGATCGAAACTGAAGTTCCATTTGACTAGGGCCCCTATAAGTACCATCACATACTAATTCTGTAGACAAAGTACTTTAAATTTTGAAGCTCTTGGAAGTTCTCTGGACCTGCCCCTTGTAGCGGGCCGACAGACCGGCAGACCGGGAGGAGCCGCACATTAGCTTAACACGCCCAGGGTGGTACCGCCAGAGGGCGGGGGGGTGCAGGTAGTACGGAGTAGTTTTCTCCATCGAGGCCACCTCCGCCACCTCCGCCGATTCTCACTCCATGAATTGCTTCGCAAAGCGAAGAGCAACGGGAGATGGCCCCCTTTCCGCTCCGCCAAGTCTGCAGAACAACAGACTATCGATGGGCTTCATTTATTCCTGTCATTCCACTGTTACGTTGCCATCAACGTCTCCGCGTGACGAGCGCCTGGCAAGGGTATTGTGGTGTTTTCCGCGTGGGACTGATCCTTCCCTGCCGTCAGCGCGGCATAGGAACTGGATCCATATTCACGAAGGATCACGGTTGCCAGGATTGCAATCCTTGGGATTCCAGACCATGCGATGACTGGCGTGAGAATTCAGAGTTGAACGCTCTGCTTTGCTGCCGAAAAGAGCTTGGCGCCCCAAGGCCCGGCGAAAGCGCGCGAGGTCGGCGTATAAGATGGTCTTCTGGCGATCATGTCCGATCGCGATTCCTTCTGTTCTGCAGGACATCTGGCTCATCTTCCAACTCCCCCGTCCCCTCCCCTCACTTCTTCAACCTTGGTTCCTGCTCCGCTCCATTCACTCTTTCCCCCCTTCACCAGACTGAGCAACCCTCCGTTGAACAACATGCACGCGGCACGTCTTCACCTCGTCCTGCTCGGCCTTCTCTCCGGCCCCGGCTTGGACCTTGTCTCGGCCGCCAGGAGGCCCGTCATCGCCCGACGTGGCGTCGAGTGCTACTTTGACATCCAGGCAGAGAGCGGCGAGACCTGCCAGGGCATGGCCTCGAGCTGGGGCATCTCGGTCGACGAGTTCACCAAGATCAACCCGGGCGTGACCTGCCCCAACCTTGAGGCTGGAAAGTCCTACTGCGTTGTTGGCGAGTACACGGATGACGGCGGGAGTGAGACTACTCCCCCTGTTCCGCCTACAACCACGTCCACCACGACGACGGCCCCTCCCACCACCATCAGGACTTCTATCACCACCAGTACCACCACTGCCCCTGCCCCCAGCAACTCCCCCGCTATGCCTGGCATTGTGGATAACTGTGACAGTTTCTACAAGGTTCAGTTAGGTGATCAGTGCGACTCGATCGCCCAGAAGCACGGTATCTCGGTGGCCCAGTTCAAGGCGTGGAACACTGAGATAAACGCCTCGTGCTCCAACCTCTGGGCCGACTACTATGTCTGCGTCCGGGTTCCCGGTGCTACCACCCCACCCACCACCACCACCACCACCACCACCGGCCCTGCTCCCAGCAACTCTCCCCTCATGCCTGGCGTCGTGGCCAACTGCAACCGCTTCTACAAGGTTCAGTCCGGCGATGGTTGCGAAATTGTTGCCCAGAAGAACGGCATCACCACCGCGCAGCTGAGGTCCTGGAACACCGAGATCAACGCTTCCTGCACCAACCTTTGGACTGATTACTACATTTGCACCGGTGTCCCTGGAGCCGTGACTAACCCGCCCACCACCACCACCTCTGCGCCCTCGCCCAGTAACTCCCCTGCCCTGCCCGGCGCCGTGTCCAACTGCAACAAGTGGTACAAGATCGTCTCGGGCGATACATGTGACAATATTGCCGCCAAGAACACCATCACCGTCGCCCAGCTCCGCAGCTTCAACACCCAAATCAACTCCAGTACGTACTCACAGTCCCCCACCCCCCTCCTCGTCTTTCGGGTCGATTCTTTGCTAACTGGTTTTTCCTCAGGCTGCAACAACCTCTGGGTCGACTACTATGCCTGCGTCGGTACCCCCAACGCCGCCACACCCATGCCCGGAATCGTCTCCAACTGCAGCCGCTATTACCTGGTCGTTTCCGGCGACTCGTGTGATGTCATTGCCTCCAAGGCCGGTATCACTGTTGCCGACTTCCGCAAGTGGAACACTTCCATCAATTCGGCCTGCACTAACCTATGGCTTGACGCCCTAGTCTGTACTAAAGCTTAGTTAGTACTGCTATCAAATCAGATATATTTAATAGTAATTAAATATAATTAGTTAAATACCTTGATTTTTTAATATTTAAATAATTAATATAACGATATTTCAGAAGTAGCTGGTCGCGCCGCAATTAAGGGAATATATAAGTAAATGTAAGAGGTAGTTCTAGATATGAAGTGCTAGAACTAGTAGATCTTTAGTTTATTATACTAACTATTACTTCTTATAGTTATTCCTTACAATTAAACTAACTTAAGTAGTTTAAATTAATACTTTATAATATACTTATAAGTTAGTACTTATTTTTATTTATATATTTTAATTTAGTTTTTAATTATATTTATATAATAAATATTATTTATTTATATATAAATATTATCTATTTATAAAATAATTTTACTTATTATTATATATTAAAATAAAATATATAATAACTTATTATTAATTAAATAATAACTAGATTTTATACTAGCTAATATTAATATTATAAGCTTACTATATTATATTAGTTATAATATAAAGCTAAGAAATATCTATTATAAAATAATTAGTAAAGGAGAAAAAAGAAAAAAAAAAATAAGTAATTAAACTATATTATAATAAAGATACTAGAATATTACTATAGTAATAATAAGTAAAGATTTTATAAAGATAATATAATATACTAATAGTATAATTTAGAGATTAGTTAAAATACTATTAGGCTAGGATTTACTAAATACTAGTATTACTAGTACTTATATTTTAGAATTTAATTTATTATAATACTTCTCTTTTCTCTTCTAGAACTTTATTATTATATTATACTATCTTTCTACTTTCTTTTAAAATAATAATACTTACTTAAAAAGTTATTAACTTCCTTAATTAAATTATATTATCTTTTATAGATATCTAATATTATTATATTTTCTATATTTTCTACTAGCTTTTATATTAAAAGTATATAATTATCTTATTATACTAAAACTTTTCTTTACTTACTATAGCTTTACTACTTCTACTTAGTATATAATACTTTTATTACTTTATATTTTTTATTTTTATCTTTATAAAATAATAATAATTAAATATTATCTAGTTTTTAATCTAATAGTAAATTATTATATACTTTTTATAATAGATCTATATTAAAATAATTATAAATATTAGATAAAATATTTAGCTTAACTATATTAATATTTAATATTACTATTATTATATATTTATAGTAAAACTAATTAAGCTTTTTTAATAAATAAAAAAAACTATAGTTTTTTATTTAAAGCTAGACTTTATTATTAATTTAGAAGTACTTAGTAGAATATCTTTATATATTTATTATATTTTCTTAGTAAAGTTAAGTAATAGCTATTATAGATTATATAAATTTAATAGCTTTTTATATATAGGAAAAGAATCTATTTATTTACTTTTCTTTAATATTATAAAGAACTTATTAAATATTATTAGTAAATATTAAAAGTTTTATATTATAATTATATTTTAAAAAGAAAGAGCTTATTTTAATTAAAATATTTACTTTATTATTTAAAGCTAGTTATATTTATATAATATATTTATTTTAATTAGATTATATATAATAGATAAATATTTATAGATAATATTATATTTCTAAATTTATTTATTTAGACTCTCTATTTATCTAAAAGTAATATAATAAGATAAAAGGTAATTATAAGGAAAAAATATATATAAAATAAAGTAGTAGTAGGGGGCCGAAATAATATTATTTTATATTATAGAACTTAGTAAAACTAATTCTTTCCTTTTTTCTACTAGAAAAAAATAATTTTTTAATTTCTTTAATAAGTTCTTTATTATCTTTATTATTATCTTTTTTTATTATCTTTTATAGTCTTAATAGTTTTCTTTAATTTTAATTAGTTTTTACTTTAATTAACTTATTTTTATTATATTTTTATAGATTACTATATAAGATAACTCCGATAGTTCTACTATTATTTTATGTACTTAAGTGTCTTCTATTTAACACTTGTATAATCCTCTAACTTCCCTCTATTTAGAGGTCCCCTTTCTATATATAATAGCTTTATTCTTGTTAATTAATAGAACTGATACCTATTTTACTTCTGTAGGAGCTTTATAGTAGTTTTTTACGGGAGTTATAGACTATTGACTATATTTATTTTTTTTATACTTATAGTAATCGGGCAGGCTACACTGCTCCGTTTTAATAATAAGCTATATTAAGTTATTATTTAATTTTTAAAAGCTTATAAAGTTTTTTTTTAAAAATAGCTAATTTAATTACTTTTTTTATTATTTATAATTAATATTAAAACTTTATAATAATAATAATAGATAAAGATAAAGTATTTAATATAAGTTTTAATAACTATAATAACTATAAACTTTAAAATTATATTTTTTAATAAATAGTTAATAATAATTTATAAGTAAATAGTTCTATTTAATTTAGTTAGTAAAAAGTTAATAATAAAGTTTATAATAAGATTATTATAAGTTTTTATTAAAATAAGTAAAAGTTTAAAAAAATCTTATTTTATTTACTTTTAGATTATATTCTTTTTATATATATTATAATTTTAAATAAATTAGTAAATATCTTATATTAAGCTAGGCTAGTAAAACTATTATATTATAGTTATTATTATATTTTTATAATCTAAGTAATTAATTAAAATAGTATTATAAATAGTTTAAATAATATATTTTTTTAAAAAGTACTTTATATTAATATTTAAAATTTATAAATAGTTTTAATAAGTTAGCTTTTTTTTTATATTTACTAAATACTTTATAATTTATAATTTTAAATTAAAAGTAAAAAAAAAGCTTTAATTACTTTATATTATTATTATAAAAACTACTTAGTAAAAAAAGTTTTTTTTAAAAACCTAATTTTAAAGTTATTATAACTTTAATTTCTTTTAAAAGATATTTACTAGTTTTATCTATAAAAGATTTCTATTAATAATATTATATATTATCTAAAAGCTTTTTAAAAAGATAATAACTATTATAAGCTTACTATACTATATTAACTATAATATAAAGCTAAAAAATATCTATTATAAAATAATTAAAAAAAAAAAAAAAGAAGAAGAAAAAAGAGAAAAAAGAAGAAATAGCTAGCTAGGTTATATTATAATAAAAATACTAAAATATTACTATAATAATAATAAATAAAAATTTTATAAGAGCTATATAATATATTAATAATATAATTTAAGATCTAGTTAGAATATAGTTAGAATAGGATTTATTAAATACTAATATTACTAATATTTATATTCTAAAATTTAACTTATTATAATATCCCCCCTCTCTTTCTTAAAGCTTTATTATTAGCTATACTTCTTAGAGAAATAGTATTTATTTAAAAAGCTATTAGCTTTCTTAATTAAATTATATTATTTTTTAAAAATATCTAAAACTATTATATTTTTTAAATTTTTAACTAGTTTTTATATTAAAAGTATATAATTATCTTATTATATTAAAGCTATTTTTTACTTACTATAATCTTACTATTTCTATTTAATATATAAAATTTCTATTACTTTATATTTTTTATTTTTACTTTTATAAAATAATAATAATTAAAAGTTATCTAGTTTTTAATTTAATAATAGATTATTATATACTTTTTAAAATAGATTTATATTAAAGTAATTATAGATATTAGATAGTATATCTAATTTAACTATACTAGTACTTAATATTATTATTACTATATATTTATAATAAAGCTAATTAAACTTTTTTAATAAGTAAAAAGAGCTATAATTTTTTATTTATAGCTAGACTTTATTATTAATTTAAAATTACTTAATAAGATATTTTTAAGTATTTATTAAGTCTTTCTAGTAAAATTAAATAATAGTTATTATTATTTATATAAATTTAATAGCTTTTTATATATAAATAAAAAACTTATTTATTTACTTTTTTTTAATATTATAAAAAGCTTACTAAATATTATTAGAAAATATTAAAGATTTTATATTATAGTTATATTTTAAATAAAAAAATTTATTTTAATTAAAATATTTACTTTATTATTTAAAGCTAGCTATATTTATATAATATACTTACTTTAATTAAATTATAAATAATAAGTAAATATTTATAAGTAATATTATACTTTCTAGTTTATTTATTTAAATTTTTTATCTATTTAAAGATAGTAAGTTATATTAAATTATTATTTAATTTTTAAAAACTTATAAAGTCTTTTTTAAAAATAGTTAGTTTAATTACTTTTTCTATTATTTATAATTAATTTAGAGATTTTATAATAATAATAATAGATATATATAAAATATTTAATATAAGCTTTAGTAACTATAATAATTATAAACTTTAAAAGTATATTTTTTAATAATTAATTAATAATAACTTATAGATAAATAGCTTTTTCTAATTTAATAAGTAAAAAGTTAATAATAAAATTTATAGTAAAATTACTATAAATCTTTTTTAAAATAAATAAAAGTTTAAAAAGGTTTTACTTTATTTATTTTTAAATTATATTTCTTTTATATATATTATAATTTTAAGTAAATTAGTAGATATCTTATATTAAACTTAGTTAGTAAAATTACTATATTATAATTACTATTATACTTTTATAATTTAAATAGCTAATTAAAATAATATTATAAATAATTTAGATAATATACTTTTTTAAAAAGTATTTTATATTAGTATTTAAAACTTATAAATAATTTTAATAAATTAACTTTCTTTTAATATCTATTAAATATTTTATAATTTATAATTTTAAATTAAAAATAAAAAGAAAAATTTAATTACTTTATAATATTATTATAAAAACTATTTAATAAAAAAAGTCTTTTTTAAAAATTTAATTTTAAAGTTATTATAATTCTAATTTCTTTTAAAAGATATTTATTAATCTTATTAGTAATAGGTCTTTATTAATAGTATTATATATTATTTATAAACTTTTTAAAAAGATAATAATTAGCTTTATAAAAAATATAGAAGTAAATATT